GTAAGAAGAAATGCAGAAAAGTATGGCGTTAACAGCTACAGAGTTTATAAATGAAGAATTTGAACATTTGTTGAACAAATAACTTTTAAGATCAAATTTGACTTTTTTTGGTAAATTTTATATATTGTATAAAAATATTATACAAAAACACTATTATACAATAGTTGTACAATTAGTTAAGTTCTTTACAAACTATTCTAGCATGACAGTAAATAAACCACAACATTAACACTGATAGTATAACATTTATCAGAAACATATGTGTGAAAGAATGTGAGCATGTGTATGAATGACAGAGTGTAAACTCCATTTCTACTAAACAACACAGAACAAGCATTTAACATTTTTTTTTTTTAACAAATTATACACTTACAGTTTGTTTCATAGTCCATGAATACAGATCAGGCATCACTGCCAATTTTCATGATCTCTTTAGCATAATTGATGTAGTCATGAAGAAGCCCCATCAGCACAGCAAAGGCATGTGACATCTTTTACATTATCCAGGGTAGCCTCCTCCTTTAAAACCACTGGTGCATCAGTTTGGGGGAAAGGACATTCTCCTCTTTGACCAGCATTCGGACATTCACATACCTCACAAATTTTCATGTACGTGGAAGGCTGCTCTTTAAAGGGTTAGTTCACCAAAAAATGAAAATGATCATAATTTATTCTGCCCCATGTTGTTCCAAACCCATTCAAACTCTGCTAATTTTTGGAACACAAATAAATATATTTAATATTCTCTTAATTGTTGTCCTCTATTGCAAGTCTGGGAGACCAGTATTTTCTTCTGAACAGACATGTGCACTATGATATAATTTAAGATGTATTCATATATAAATATTGGCATGGATTACTTCTACAATAACTCTGTATTTTTTAAGCTTGAAAATACTGATTATCTAGACTTTCAATGTATTAACAAAAAATGATGAGAGAAAATTCTAAATATCTTTGTGTTCTAAAGATAGACAAAAGTCTTATAAGCTTGGAATGACATGAGGGCAAGTAAATTATTATTTTTTGTGTGAACTATTCCTTTAAGAAAGGAAGACCAAGAATGATGACTCTCCAAATCAGACAACTCCAAAGTTGGTTTGAGGTATGCAATGAAAAAGACAGACATCATTGGTTTAAATAAAATATGAGCACGTAATCATAGTGTTGCAGCATCAAAATGTGAGGTAAACAGGCAGGTGACAATGGAAACATTTATTTTCTAAAAATAACTCACATCAATCTCAAAAGATTGATGCTCTCCTATGCCTCTGGCTTTCAACATCTACAAAAACAAACATTATTTTACTCTTAGAAAAAAATAAAAAATGATAACATGATGGAATTATGAACTTTACTTGCCTTAACCGTCTTTCCCTCTCTTCTGAAGAAGCTGAGAAAATCGCCTCTTCACACAAGCAGGGTTCCGTGTCGTTAACTCCAAAGTTGGTTTGAGTTCTGCAATGAAAAACAGAGACATCAATGGTTTACATAAAATATGAACACGTAATAATACTGCTGTTGCATCAAAATGTGAGGTTAACAGGCAGGAGACAACATTTTCTAAATATAACTCACATCAATCTCAAAAGAATGATGCTCTCCTATGCCTCTGGCTTCCAACATCTACAAAAACAAACATTATTTTACTCTTAGTAAAAAAAAAATTGATAACATGATGGAATTATGAACTTTACTTGCCTTAACCGTCTTTCCCTCTCTTCTGAAGAAGCTGAGAAAATCGCCTCTTCACACAAACAGGGTTCTGTGTTGTTAACTCCCGGCACAATGAAGACACAAAAGCTCAACATGTCTGAAATATAACATGCAAAACATTACTTTTAACAATTATCACTTCATCAGCCTCAAAATAATTAGGCTAGTCTTTATTAACTTACATAACGCTGTTTCTTTTAGGAAACTACATTGAATTTAACCGCAGAAAAAAAAGATAATGAATTAACATGTAAATATGTTAATAACCCTCTCTTAACACCTCAGAAATGTACATATTGTAATAGTAAATTATTACATGACATAAGACACTCACTGACGTTATATTAAAAACACCTCTTCCATTCAGTAAAAGAGGCTGTTAAGACCGCGTCCACGTATTCTTCAATATAAGCTCTTTTCAGAATATTTCCACCTTCCATGAAATCTCAAGATACTACCGGACTCAAACAATGAATGATGACTTTACATTTTTAATCTTTACTTACCATAAACCGTCTTTCACTCGCACTCACTTCCATCTGAAAACGCTGAGAAAATGGTGGCTTCTCGCACTGGTGTCGTCGAGATACGTCCGATGTTAACGTGACGTGCATGCTCTCTTTCATGTCCGCATTCCCAACCCAGCGCTGCTGGGTTATAGATCAAGACCAATTTTCAACCCAAAATTGGGTTAAAAAAATCCAACGTCCTTACCCAGTGGTCTCAACCCAGCATTTGGGTTGAAAATACAACCCAGCGTTTTTTGGAGTGTATGTTGCTGTTTAGTTATTCTGAATGGATCTGTGTACTGTAGATATATGCAGTCAGCCGTCGGTTGGTTTAGGGTTTTTTTGACATCACCATGTGGTCCTGTTCGGTATCGCAACTTGACTTCTCTAAAATGTAAAAAAGCTATTTACATATATACACACATACCGTATTTGCCCGAATATAAGACGACCCTGATTATAAGACGACCCCCCTTTTTCCAGATGTACTTTTTGGAAAAAGGCTTTTTAAAAACCAAATCTTGTTTTTTTTCTCAGTAAAACACATTTTGTCTTCAATTATTTTCATATTGCATATTTTTCCTATTTTAATTTTTGTTTTGAAAGTATGGTAAAAACTGGTAAAATGTACCAACAATCACATTTAAAAAATATACACTTTTTGATATACCATAAAAAAAAAACAGGTAACGTTAGCCCATCTGAATTAGGACATTTAGGCTATCCATCTAATCATTTGGTTCTTTGGTGTCCTTTTGGAGTTTTGGAGTCCTTTTTTGGAAATACATTTATATTTATCTTGAAAAAAAGCTTGCAGAAAATACATATTTTTGAGAATCACCCCTCAATTTTTTGGTTTACTTTGCTGAATGTAGCAAATGACAAAATAAACATTTGAAACAAGATAAATGGTCTAT